CCCAGACTGTGGGGGCGATATGCTGACTCTGTAAACCGCTTAGAGAGGGCTGAAAACCCTATGAAGCGGTATATAAGTCTAACTGCTATTGCTAACTGCTATAAGCCATCTCCCCCAAAATAAGCCCTAGTTAAGATCCCGCCCACTCCATTGCCCCTGGTTGCATATGATGGGTAAGGCGCACAGGTACAAGCTAGGTGGGGATGAGGGTGGACTTGCTTACCTTCAGGCACTTTCAGCTAGGCCTCGCACACTTTGATACCTGCTCACCTTGTTGGTATATTTATTCTGCAGCCGCTAGGTGCCACTTGCACACATTACTCCCAGCCTCTGTTTCGCCATCAGAGGCCTTCAGGAAAGGCTTCTCCAGCTGATAAAAGAGCTCCAGATTGTCGTGCACAGCGCCCCCTGGCCTCCGTTTTGCCACCAGAGGCACCATCAAAGCTCATTTCTTTGTTGCAGAGGCCTTTCCTGAATACCTCTGACAGCGAAATGAGGCCAGGGGGCGCTATGCACTCAATCCAGACCCAGTTTCTTGGCTGAAGAGGCCTTTCCTCAAGGCCTCTGACAGCAAAACAGAGGCTGGGGGCACTGCGCATGAGCGGTGGCAATCAGCTGCAAAAGAAGAGGGCCATCAGCAGCCACAGGGGCTCCTGCTAGGCAGGGCTGTCAAAGCCATCACGGTGATGTGAGACAGTGGAAGACATACCTTGAAAATTACACCTGGTGTCTCTTTTGAAGGGAAAAATATATAAGACCGGGTCTTATTTTCGGAGAAACACAGTATTTTGGGATAAATGAAGTAAGCAACTTTCATTCTACTATTCTCTGAGAGAGAACGATTTGGAGTTCTAGAGAAGGAAATCTAAACAGTTTTCGGTTCACCGACAAAAGGGCGACTGACAAAACCGCGCCCGACTAAACCGCGGTGACAAAACTGTGAGTTCTAAACCCCGCCGATGAATGAGCACTGAATCACACCGACAACAGTGTGGTGACAGAAGCGCGCTGTGAACCTAAACCTAACCCTAAACCTAATGCTAACCCTAACCCTAATGCTAACCCTAACCCTAAACGTAATGCTAATCCTAACCTAAACCTAACCCTAAATGTAACACTAACCCTAACCCTAAATCTAACCCTAAACCTATGCTACAATAGCTAAGGCAGAACAGGACTTTGTTATATAAGGCTTTCAAATGCTTTCCCCTAGACCAAAGCAGTATTTATTGTGATTCAGAATTCCATTTTAAAATGTGGTTGAATTGAAGCTTTGGGTCACAAAATTCTAATCGTATACTTTCAGTCTAGAATTTGAAACAACACATAACCATCACAATTTTTTTTTTAAAAAAAAAAACTATTTAAAAGAATCTTTTATTTTAAAAAAATCTATTTTTTCAGGTCAGATGGAAATCCATTGTGTGATAGCTGCTGCGAAGCAAGGTTACCCAATGTTTTATTTAGGAACTGATCTATGCTTGGAACTGAGTTTCTGAAGCAAAGAATTGGGGTTTAATCTGTCAAGATAAAGATGAGTTTGGAAATCCAGGAAAAAAACTAGTCTACAAAGCTGGAATGAACTATACCAATCAGCTGACTCATATTGACCAATGAAAACATTAACACAATACACTAAAAATAACACACACACAAAAACAACAACAATGAGCTCCTAATGAAACTCCCTACCATTATCACCATGATTTTTTTTCCTCCCATGCCTCCTTTAAATGACTTTTTAAATTTTTAACTGTTTACTTGGTACACATAATTGTTTGTAACTAAAAAGCCATACTACTGTTGCTTTTGCAAATTATTCAATTTTCAGTCAATATCCTAGAAACAGAAAAAAAAAAGCTTAGTTTTCCATTACAGATTGGAGATTCATTCCGAATAGGATTTAACTGACTCTCTATTTTATATATTTTATATAATAGTTTAATTGCAAATGATGGTAAAACTAAGAGGAGGGGGTGGAATCTTACCTAGTTTCTGAGCAGTCAATAAGGCAACTTTACTTTCATCTGCCACTAGAGAAAAGGGAGGAAAAGAAAGTGCATAAAAATCAAGATTTAGCCCTAAATGAAAAGAAACCATACACCATCAGTAACACCCTAGACTACATTCCAAAGCAGATGCACTTGTTTTTGCAAAGTTTTTTTATTTTTTTTATTTTTGGCATCTAATTCATCCATACATATAAAATAGCAACAAATTTAAAACTCTAATTAAATTAAAGTTTAAAAATAGGCATGGATTTTTCAAGTACTTTTTGAGCAAAGATGATATTTCAATCATACCGTTTATTTTTCCAGCCAATTTCGTGTTGGATTTCTGTACAGAAGTAACGCCAATACACAAAAATGGAAGCATGATAAAATTGTGTATTTGTGATATAATACTGCGGTTCCTGTTGTGGCCCAGCAGGAGCCGTTGGAGCTGCCACCAGACTCTGACAGCAAGGGGCCCTATGACTCGGCTCTGGAGGATGTGGAGGACCCTGGACAGGGTTCCAACTCCAAGCAGGACACAGAGAGGCTGGTTGGCCACCAGGAGCCACTTGAGCCTTGGACCAGTGGGGAGGAGACAAGGGAGAGTGAGCCGGACGCCAGCAG